GTCTGTTAGCCTCTTGCTCTTTCCCTTCTGACAAGAAGGCTTGTTCGGCCTGGAGAAGAGAAGGCTCCTGAAGGGGAGCCCTTAGAGCAGCTCCAGTGCCTAAAGGGGCTGCAGGAAACCTGAAGAGGGGCTTGGGACAAGGGCCTGTAGGAACAGGCCAAGGGGAATGGCTTTAACCTGCCCGAGGGGAGACTGAGCTGAGCTCTTAGGCAGAAGCTCTTCCCTGGGAGGGTGCTGAGGCGCTGACACAGGGTGCCCAGAGAAGCTGTGGCTGCCCCAACCCTGGCAGTGTTCAAGGGCAGGTTGGACATGGGCTTGGAGCAAGCTGCTCTAGTGGAAGGGGTCCCTGCCTGTGGCAGGGGTTGGAGCTGGATAAGCTTTAAAGTCCCTTCAACCCAAACCTGGCTGGGATTCGAAGAAGGGGTTATTTCTATTTAGCTGACATCAAAGGGTCAGCAGTGTGTTAGGTCAAGTCAACAAAGTCATCACTGGTAGATGTGGGAGGATGGTCCACTATTGCTGTGAGACTCAGGAGCAATCAGATGGAACTCACAGCAGGTGGGTTTAGAAGCAGGAGGATGGTGTTTTTCAGGCAGCAAATAGTAGACACGTTGAACTAGCCATGGCCTATTCTGCCTACAAAACTTTTGGGTGAATTCATAGAGGATCTAGGCATGCTCATGCAGAGGCTGCACTGATTGTTCCTGAACACCCAGAAGCCCAAACTTATGTGGGGAGGCCCAGAAATAAAAGCCTGCATGGAAACATGCATTGAGAAGTTACAAATGCTTGCTCTCTTCTTTGCTCTTTTAAGTGTTGCGGGTTTTCTTTTACTAGCTCTGGCTAAAGGTCTCTGTGAAACAAGAACAAAATACTGAGCTGTGGAGCAGAATTGATGAACCTGGTGTTTATGCTGAGATTGTTTGATGCCCTCTAAGAGGGATTGGAAGCCTTTTTCTGGACAAGGCTTTAGAAGGTTTATGTATTTGATTTGGAACAGAAATAGATTTAAAGCGTTACGCTGGAGTTGTCTGGCAGCATTGAGGTTTCCTGAACAGGCTTTCTGGCAGAGCAGAAGTGGTCTACAAAGACCTGTTTTTTTCCATATGGACATGGAATGCTTAGGTTGAAAATGTGCTCACCTGAACGTACTCTGATCCAGGACTGACAGGGTGCTCTTCAAACAAGGCACTTGCTTCTGGAGAACTTCACATTCTGTGCCCTGATGTGCAGTGTTCTTGTTGGAGCTGGATGTGAGTGCTGGAGCATTGTGTTTGCTCTTGAGGTTTTTTTGTTCCATCATCTAATGCCATTGGGAGACATCTTACCTTTCTGGCCATGCTGGACAGTGTAAATACTTTGGAGTAGGGCAGTGTCCGTTAGGTTGGCATTTTAATCTTGTTCCCATGCTTTAATTTGGTAAGAGTATAAACGTGTGTAAAAGCATTACCCAAAGTTTTGTGTTGCTAACTGGTGATAAAATAACAATGAGCTGAAGTACAAAAGATCCCAAAACTGACCATGTACCAGCTTCCTGAAAGAACAAATAAGAAAGGGGGTCATAGAGTCATGCTCCCTGCTGCAGCAGAGACAATGTCCTCCAGGAGTTGAAAAGTGTTTGTGGTATACCCCAGACTTTTCAAGCACTGCACTTGGAAATCACATCTCTTGGCTCAGGCTAGCACGGATTTCCCCAGCCCTTGGAGGAGATGAAAGACCTGGTTGTGTACTCTTAAGATAGAATATCATCTCTTCCCGAGCTGCCTTCAGGGATGTTAGTTTTTACCCTGAAACTGAAACGAGTTCTCATACTTTGCTTTGAAAACTAGTGGGGGAAAACATCCAGCAATGCTTAAAGCTTCTAGTGTAGCCAGGTTCTCTCTCGCTGGCAGCTGGAAGAGGGTTTGGGGGTCTGTTGGACATACCAGCCAATGTGATGGTGTTTCTCTGAATATCGTGGCCTTTGAGGGCTGAACAGAAACGCTGCTTGTGGACTGCTGAGAAGGTTGGGCTTTGCTGCGGTTATGTCGAGCGTCGCAGAGGAGCATGTCTTGAATACAGGAGTATGGGACCCATGCCCAGCTCCACTCCCCCAGTGCTCCTTATCCTTCTGGTTTTGGCATTCTGTAAAGTAAATAACTTTTCTTCCTGAAGCAAGCTGCCCACCAGGAAGCGGAGCATCCCCTTCCAAGGATTCTGTGTGGCTGTTCAAAGCCAAGATCTATTGAGTTCAAACTGAAGTGTGTGTCTCTGAGCCTAAGGCCATCAAGGAGGTGTCACAGGAAATGGGTTCGGTGCCTGGAGGTGCTAATTAAACACCAAAAAGCTTAATTATCTGTCAAAAGTGGGAAGGGTCCCTCTTGCTGTTCCTGGTTTCAGATTGCCTCTTTCACTGTCATTCTGCTGTCTGTGGCTGTTCTTTCAGCTGCCTTCCCTTCACCAAGGGGTATGATCCCTGCATAGTGTTAGGCTTTGGGCAGCGAGGCTCTCTGGCAAAGGAAAGACTGGAGCTTGTTACCATGATAAACTTGTGCTCCAACCAGGTTTTCCACATATTCTTCATCTTAACCATTGCTTTTTGTTGTTGCAAGAGGTGGCTTTGTTTCATACCATTCTTGGTTCCTGGCTTCTCCGGTAGGTTTAATGTGTGCTGCAGTCAGGAGCTGAAGCCTGTTGTTACTTTGGGCTCCTCTGTGCTTTCCTTGAGCCCTCTTGGTACCAGGCAGGATTTCTGGTGAGCCCATTGCCATGGGGGTGTGGCAGAGGGAAGGATGGGAGCTGAGCTCTCCCTTCTGAACTGTGGGTGCTCTGAAGATGCTGGAGTTCTTTCTCTGTGAACATGGAAGGAGTCATGTTTGCTGTGCTGCAGCCAGAAGATGTGTTGGTAAATGTCTTGTGTGAGGTGGTGATGTTTTTGTCACAGGTGCTGCTGGTAGGAAGCAGCAGAGGGTGACCAGCAGAGGGGGGTTCTCATTTTCTACTTTGCCTCCTCCATACCATGCCTGTCCTCTTGTTCTTCAAGCAGAGCCTGAGTGATATTTAACCCCTGGTTTGAGCCTGAACCTCAGGCTAGCATGGGATGATTTACCTTCTTTTATTCCTAGAATAAATCGTTGTACTGTGGAGCAGGTTATAAATTGTCTTTGGTTTAGCTTCCTTGTTTGGAGATGTCACTTTTTATTAAAGGTCAGTATTTATGTAAAGAAACTGAGGCAGTTTCTGGCCAATGAACTCGGTTTGGAATTTTTATGCACAACTTCTGGGTTTTCTTTCTAAGTTTAACTGGGATGTGTTTGAAGTAGCAAAAGAGCAAACTTCCAGGCCTAAAGAGTGTTCAGTATTTCAGTCTGTGGACTGTCATGTTAATGGGATGCTCCTGCTCTTTGCCCAAGAGTGCTTTTATGGTTGCAATGTCAAGTAACTAAACAAAGCAGCAATTCCTCTTTCCCTGTGAATATAGGCACTTATGTTTTCCCTTTCTTGTAGGGCTTCATTTAGGACAAGTTTGGCTGGTTCTTCCTTGCTGCAGCCTGTGACCCGGCCAAATAACTTGGGAGAACCTTAACATCAAATAGAACAACAGCTCACCTTAAATGCTTTGCAGTAAGCTTAATATTGGGGATATATTCAACTACCCAATGCCTTTTCATGGGTGTCACTGGTGGTGTGCTCCTCACGCCAGTGGTTGGCTTCGTTCAGGAGCTGGTGGTGGGTAATTGTAGATGAGGATTAGTTAATGACAGCTCTCGTGAGTTCATGGAGATGTTTGAAGTCTCCTACGATGCCATTGAGCAATCCTCCTGTCTTGTTGAGGATGGAACTCATAAATGACATTGAGAGAATGTGTATGTGACCTGGACTGGACTAATAACAAGCTTATGAAAGTACAGGGCAGAGGTAGAGCAAATTCCTGTGTGCTGCAGTCAAAGTGGCGTCTGTTGGCAGCGCGGTGATGGTGAGTTTGGTCTGGCCTCCACTTGATGCTGGAGAAGGCAAATATCTCTCCAGCGCAGGTTTTCCTTCTGCTGTGGCCAGGGTAAAGAAGGCCCATTTGTCTCCTGTGTGCTTGCAGAACGAGCAGTTTGAGAGGTTAGTGTGGACCTGCCCTTGCTGTAACAGTCAGGGAAATAAGGACAGAAGTGGCCCAGGTTTGGAATGCCCCTTCAGCACTGGGGAGCCTGGCTGCAAAGCCTGTGTCAGAGCGTCATCTGTAAGGGAGTCTTACCATCATGTTTCAGTGTGTGGCAAGAACCTGTCTTCTAGATGATGGTTAGAGCTTCTCAGAACCTAAAGTTGCTTCTTAAAATTGTAATTTTTGGTAGAACATCTCACATGTTTCCTACCAAAGGAAGTTAAATGCCTGTGTTTTGAATGTAGAACAGAACAGCGTATGTCTGGTCACCTTGGGCAGAGTTTTCCGGAAAGTTTCATTTTGGTTTGACCTTCACATCTCTGTTACAGCACATTCCCCCTCGGAAATGGGTGCTTGGGCCCTGTTCTGCCCTATGAGCTGCGTTCTCTGAAGGGTGTTATCTTGGGGGGGGGAAAAAGGACACAAACAAAAAACCTCTTGTGCTTCCTTCTGACCAAAGTGCTTGGAAGCATTGTGGGAAATGGAGCCAGACCAGGGATGCTGTGTCATGGGAGTTTGGGTTTGGGAGCCTGTTTCCCAACGTGACGAAATGCAGTTTACTAACAGCCAAAATCAGAAACATCTGTATGTTAAGAAAACACCATCTTCTGAACTAAAAGCCACCTTATTGCACAGAAAGCTTTTAGCTTGGCCTGATGTGGGTTAAGGAGAAATACTAGATCTTCCTATAAGAAGTGGTGTTTGGCTCCTATTTATCCACAGTATACTTCAAAGCTGGCATACCAAACTGGAAACTGCAAACAGTGGTTTTTCCTTCTTTTTTTTTAGCAGAATAAAGCAAGATTGGAAGTTGCTTGTATGAACTGTTGCGTGGAGACTTTCTGAAATGTCCTTTCCTCTTTTCCAGATTCACCACAGATATGCCTGGCCAGCTGCTCTGCTGCTCCTGTGCCTCAGCACTTGCTGCCCTGTGATTGCAGATAACAAGCATAAGAAGTGATTGCAGATAACAACCCTAAGAAGTGAGTTACAAAGTTGGGGTGAGTCTCATGTGGCTTTGATATTCTGGAGCATCTCAGCATGCAACTCAAAAAACCAAATCCAGGGAAGACACTGTAAAAACCTGTAACTTACAGCCAGGGTACATGAGCTATCTGTCAAACCTGTGGAAGGATGCTTAGAGACCTGAATGCAAGTTGTTAAATTCTTACTCCTTATTTCCATGTAGTTTTCTTTTCCTCTCAATTTTGTCAGCATTTTTCATCTAAGTAACTTCTCTGGAAACTTGCATCCATCAACTACTCTCCCTGGCTTTATTTTTAGAACATACATGTTGAGCTGAGAAGTAGGTAGCTGCAGTGCTGCTTGTCAGTGATGAATATCTGCACCAAGGAAATTGGGTAGGATTGAAGTCAGGGAGAGTACAGACTCTTCTGTGGTGAGCTAAAGCTTCTCTAAAAGCGCCTCAGCTCTCCGCCCAGTATCAAAGTTAATGTGCTCTGTATATATGCACAGTTTGTTCCACTGTGACAAGTAAAATGTGGGCTAAATCCTGTTCTGTTACAAGTGACCTATGAAATGAGCAGAAAACTCACAAGTGAAGATGTTGGGAAAGTTTTCCTCTCTAGAACAGTGAAATCAAAAGGAATAACATTTGCAGGTGAAAGTGACTGATTCCAGTATGGATACATACTTTGATTTCATGGAATGGGCAAGTTAAGAGCCATAGAATCCCAGGTTGGAAGGGACCTCAAGGATCATCTGGGCCAACCTTTCTAGGGCAAAGCATGACCTAGACTGGATGTCCCAGCACCCTGTCCAGCCCAGTCTTAAAAGTGTCCAATGCTGGGAATCCACCACTTCCCTGGGGAGATTATTCCAGCGGCTGGTTGTTCTCACTGTGAAAAATGGGAACCCTCTTGTGTCCAGTTGGAATCACCCCAGGAGGAACTTGTGTCCATCACCCCTTGTCTTTTCCATGGGATTCCTTGTAAAAAGGGAGTCTCCGTCTTCTTTGTAGCCGCCCTTTAAATACTGGAAAACAGTAATAAGGTCTCCCCTGAGCTTCTTTTTCTCCAGGATGAACAAGCCCAGCTCACTTGCCTTTCTTCAGGTGGCTTCCCAGGCCTTGGATCATCCTTTTGACCCAGAACACATTGATCAAGTGTTCTGATTTGATGAAAGCCATGACTTTGAGAGCTTTGTGAGTCTGCTTGGCACAAAGTTATTTTGGGGTATAAATAATGAGTACTACAGGAACAAAACTAGCACTGGGTTTCTCTCTGGACTTTTGAAAAAACATATAGTGACAAACTAGTTTTCTGCTCAAGTGGAAGCCAGTGCAGACAAAGTGATGCTGATTATGTAGTTGGGGAATTAAATTTAGGACCATAATTGTACATCTTCGGAAACACTGTTTCTATGTTTGGACAAAATGGTGTGACAAACCAAATTCTTTCTGAGTTGTAGATTCCACTTTGAATTTTGTATGTGGGAAGCTTAATGAGCTCTTGCCTTTTGGTAATTTCAGTTGAGGGGGGGACAGACAGACAAGGATCTCATGCTTTCAGTAGCTTCCAGCCTGGAGGAGAAACTCCCTTCAGTTTTGCTTGATACTGTATCTCAAATTATTTTGTAGCTTCATTTTTTTTACTTTACTTTTTTGGTGTCAGTATTACGAGTGCCATTCACTGCTTGACAAGTCTTTAGTTTGAGCAATCCAGACTGGTGCAGTACAGTGCTTTTGGTATCTTAGTATGAGTCCAGCTCTAGTCATTTGTCTGTGCTTCATTTCATGTTCTTTTGTCTTAAAGATAAGCCCCTGAGGTCTGAAGCTTTGTGATGTTGTGGAGGGTTTCTTCTGTGACTGAAATCACCCTCTTGTTTTTCTTTATCCTTCCTGTAATATGTCTATGATCTTGGGAGCTCTTCTTTAATGTATCAAGATATTCCCATGGGGTTTAGGGTCGTAGTGTGCCTTTTCACCTGGGGGAAGCTTTTACCCAGCTCAGGATGTCTGATTTTATTTTTTTTTCCCCTCTTACTCACAGATGAGGATGTGGATTCGTAGCTCAGACTGCCAGGCAGCTTGCATGATAAGTGATATAACAAGTCTACTCATTACTGTGTTAAATACAAGTGGATAATGCGTTACTGAAATCCCTTATCAGTTCTGAGACATTGGAAAGTGGTGCTGTCTCAGCCATGGATCTTGCAGCCAAGCTGCCTGTGCTGTATCCCATTCCTGCCTGCTTTAATCCTTATGTATGTTTAAATGTAATATTTAAATGGCTTTCCCATTCCATGACTTCCACTTGCCCATATTCCTGACTCATGGCATTACTCCTTCAAGGAGCATTTGTGCCTTCATCTGTGTGTTCCCTGCCATGGGATCCAAAAGCAGAGGTGCTCTGGCTGGACTTCTTCCCAGCTCCAGTGAAACCAGTGCTTCCACTCCTGCATTTGTGCTGAGGAAACAGGCATCATCCGTGTGAGTGAGGAGTTAGCTCTTGACTCTGCCAGGTTGACCTCCAGTGTGTTTCATGGACCATTTCCAACTTGAGGAATCTGGCTTTAGGGGCACTTTGTTTTCCCTGGACAGCATAAATGAACAAGAGCAGCAGTGACCACTGGTTAAATGGTTAAATTCTTGGCTTGGAGTTACTAACATGGTACATCTCCACTGAGCTCACCAAGTGGTGTGTCGAAGCAGCTTTCTGCTTAGTAGTAGATCAAGTCCGTAGTAGTATAGGGTAGACCTGGACTGATGGTGGCTTGGGCAGAGGACATTGTGCTTCTAAGCAACTGGAGTTGACTGCAGACAGGACTTCTCTAGGTGGGGCTGAAGGAAGCTAGCAAGGACCAAAGTCTTGGAGCCTATGCCAAACACAGGGAGACAGCAGTGAAAGCTGTAGGTGCCTCTGTTCTTCTTTGGCTGCGTGTTGAAAGTGTTGAAAGGTCCTGATGATGTGTGGTAGCTAAATATCCTCCTGTACACAAAGCTTTCTAGTTGTATTAGTCATCCATCAGGCTTCTGGATTATTTAAGGGCAGAAGCTCTCCTCAAAGAGCAGCAGTATCTATTTGTAGAAAGGTACATAATGTGAAGTGCAATTCCAGTATGTTAGAGCTATGCTGCTTGAGATGTTCTCGAGAATGCTGCCTCTCCTGCTGTAGAATCATAGAATAGTTAGGGTTGGAAAGGACCTTAGGATCATCTAGTTCCAACCCCCCCTGCCATGGGCAGGAACACCTCACACTAAACCATCTCACCCAAGGCTTCATCCACCCTGGCCTTGAACACTGCCAGGGATGGAGCATTCACAACCTCCCTGGGCAACCCATTCCAGTGCCTCACCCCCCTAACAGGAAAGGATTTCCTCCTAATATCCAATCTAATGATACTTCATGATCTGTAAGGCTGAACTATTAAAGTTCTGTAACCTTAGAAGGCATCTAGTTGGTCTAGGAACATGAATCGTGATGGTGTTGGAGCCCCTTCTCAACTTCTTCCACACCTTCTGTTCAGTGCAGCTTACTTCAACTGTTAGGTGCTGTACTCCAAACACTGATAAGCCTCAAGGGAAAGGGGGCAGTGACCAAAAAGGTGCTCCAAGGAAAAAGATTCTTCCACTAGGCATGGGGGAGCCCCTAACTTAAATAGTTAATGACCAAAACCATCTTCTATAGCTCTCCAACTTGTACTGACTTGCTCAGAGCTGAGCTGGTCCATTTTTAAGCTGTAATTCATCTCTCTCTGCCTGTTTATGGAAAATCTTTGGGAAGTCGCTGGCTAGAAAATTAATTGCACCACAGCATGATTTTGTTCTCATAAACTTAAAGAAAGCTCAAACCTTTGTGGCTTTTGTAGTGTGTATGGGCTCACTTCATTGTATGCTAACCCCAAAACTAAGCGAGAGGTTTCACGCTGTGATTGAGATTCCCTGGCTGGCAGAATGCTGGGTCTTGCTTTTGCAGTCTGGCTTTTATGTAACTCATTGTTTTTGCTCAACTGTTGCAGAGAGTCTGTTTCCTTTAGCAACAGCCAGCAGATGTTTAGCTGAACAAGACTTAATTCTTTAAAATTGACCTGTAAGAAATGTGTGAAGGCGAAGATGGGGGTGGAACAATTGTATGTCAGCGTGATTTCCATTTCCTTGCTGAAACCAGTGCAAGCTGTGCAGCTCCACTGGAGCCCTGATGGGTCCTTGGGTGCTGCAGTATGCTCTGCGGCCTTCTCCAGGGGCTTTACTGTTTCTGTGAATGTGCTGTTGGGGGAGTGGGACTGAGCTGTCTAATGAGAATTAGCATTACTTGGTCAGTTAGCACTGTATGGGCTAAGTCTGTCTTTGTAGCGATAGGACAAGGAGTAATGGGTTTAAACTGAAACAGGTGAAGTTCAGGTTGGATATAAAGCAGAAGCTCTTCCCTGTGAGGGTGCTGAGGCGCTGGCACAGGGTGCCCAGAGAAGCTGTGGCTGCCCCATCCCTGGCAGTGTTCAAGGCCAGGTTGGACACAGGGGCTTGGAGCAAGCTGCTCTAGTGGAAGGGGTCCCTGCCCGTGGCAAGGGTCTGGAACTGGAGGAGCTTTAAGGTCCCTTCCAGCCCAACCCAGTCTGGATTCTGTGATCTGGTGGATGTGCCACCATGCTGATCCTGCTAGGGTTTCCAGTTATCATGGGCAGAGAAGTGTGCTCTGCAAATGGCTTCAAGGTTTCAGAGTTGAAAGTATCTGCTGCTTTAGTTTAAAGATGCCTTTCTTGGAAATAATGCTTACCTAGTGCTGGAAATACTTTGGGACACTGTGTGAATGCTCCAGTCTTCACAATTAGGATTTTGGTATATGTTAGCCTTGGGTTTTGTGCTTTTTCTGAAGTTCTAGATGCCTGCCACAAAATTTTGACATTGCTTAAGCAGGAGGTAACTTGAATGTCCTTTTCTACTAGGATGTGAGACTGGTACTCAAAGTAGGACCTCAGACTCCTTTTCCTTGTGCTGCTTGCATCAGGTTTATGTTTCCAGTAGTCTTCAAAGCTAGTGTGT